ACCCCAAAAACTTGAAGTGGACTTCCAACCAAAAGGGGGAATTTTTTATTTGGTGTGAGTGGGGGTTTTCCCACCGGGACTGCCATACTGTTTAAGTGGGGGTTCCAATGACGGGTCAGTATGAGGGATGGGGTTCCCCCAAATTGACCCCCAAAACTGGGGTTGGGGGGGTTCCACCAGTAAACTGCCAGAACTAGGTTAGTGGAGGTTCCCCCAAATTGACTCCCAATCTTGTGATTGGAGGTTCCACATTTACTCCAAGTAATTTTTGATTGGAGTTCCCCCAAATAACTGAAAGAAATTAGATTGGGAGGTTCCCCATGACTGCCAGTCCCCTTTTGGGGTGGGGGTTTACCATAGCTGAACAGGGGGCCAAAGCTGAAATTAGTGGAGTTTCCACCAGTGACTGCCATACTTTTTTTTAAAGGGGGAGGTTTCCCCCAGTAATTCCCGGTACTGGGGTTATGGGGTTCCCCCCAAGACTGCCATACTGTGTGATTTGGAAAAGGTTCCACCCACTGTAGATCCTGTGTGAGTTAAAGGTTCCACCTGACTGCCAATACTTTTGAGGGGAAAGGTTTCCAAAAAGGACCAAATCCTGGTAAGGGGAAAGGTTCCCCCAAAGGACTCCCAATCTGTGGATGGGGTTCCCCCCATGACTGCAGTACTGTTTGAGTGAGGTTCCACCAGTGACTGCCAAAATTGTGTGGTGGGGGTTTCCCCCAAGTGTGCCAGAAACCTGTGTGAGTGGGGGTTCCCAAACCAAAGGGCTCCCAATCTTTTGGAAGGGGAAAGGTTCCACCAGTGATTGGCCATAAACCGGGTGTGATTGGGAGGTTTTCCCCCAAAGGTCCCTGAATACCATTTGGAGTGGAGGTTCCCCCATGATTTCCCTACTGTTTGAGGGGAAAGGTTCCCCCCAGGACTTTCCAGTATGCTGAATGGGGGTTCCACCAGACTGTTAAAATTTTGGGGAGGGGAGGTTCCACCAGTGCCCTGCCAAACTTTTAAGTGGAGGTTCCCCCAAGTAACTCCCAGACTGTGTGAGGGGAAAGGTTCCCCACCAGTGACTGCCAGAACGGGGTAAAGGGGAAAGGTTCCACCAGGACTGAAACCCTGGTGAGTGGGGGTTTTCCCCAAAACCATGACTGCAGTCCCGGAGTGGGGGTTTTCCCAAAATGACTAAACCTGGTAAGTGGGGGTTTCCCAAACCAAAAGTGACCCCATTTTTTTATGGGGTTCCACCAGTGACTCCCAGAAATTTTTTTGAGAGGGGGTTTTTCCCAAACCAGGACCCCATAGGGTGGGGTTGGGGGTTTTCCCAAACCATGACTGAAAAAACGTTGAGTGGGGGTTTCCACCAGGGGCGGGCCAAAGAACTTTTGGAGGGAAATTTCCCCCAAACCCCAGTACTGTAGAATCCAAAGGGGTAAGGGTTGGGGGGTTCCAGAAGGGATCCCATTACTGTAGAGGGGAAAGGTTCCCCCGTGACGGGAATTCCTGTTGGGGGAAGGCCCCAACCGGGAATTTCCCAGAACGGGTTAAAGGGGAGGTTCCACCATGACTGCCAGTACTGCATGAATGGGTTCCCCCAACCCTGTGACTCCCTAAACTGTGTGATGGGGGTTTCCCAGCGGGTGACTGCCAGTACGTTTGAGGGAGGTTTTCCACAATGACCCCCCAGTACGTGTGAAGGGGATTTTCCACCATGACTCCAGTAACTGTTGAGGGGGTTCCACCAGGACTCCCCGTACTTTTGTAAAGGGATTTCCCACCATTGCCTGCATACTGGGGAGTGGGGGTTCCACCAAGACCCCCAGTCTGGGGTGAGTGGAGGTTCCACCATGACTGCTATTTCGAAAGATTGGGGTTCCACCCGGGTTACTCCCCTACGGGCTTAGTGGGGGTTCCCCCAAGTGACCCCAAATTCCCGTGTGAGTGGAGGCCCCAACAGTGACTGCCAGTACTGTATGATTGGGGGTTCCCCATAACTGCCAGTACAAAATGATTGGCCCTTTCCCCCACCAAGACTGCCAGTCCGGGGAAAATGAGGGGGAATGCCCCCCAGTGACCCAGTACGGTAAAGTGTAGGTTCCACAGTGACGCCAGTACTGATGAGGGGAGGTTCCACCAGTGACCCCAGTACTTGTATGTTTGGGGGTTCCACCGGTGACTGCCAGTACTGAAATATTTGGGGGTTTCCCCACCAGTGACTGCCAGTATTTGTGTGAATGGAGGTTCCACCAGTGACTGCCAGAAACTGAAAAGGGGAGGTTCCACCAGTGACTGCCAGACTCCCTTTGAGTGGGGGTATTCACCAGGACGCCAGTCCCCGGGTAAAAATTTGGAGGCCCCACCAGTGACTCAAAACCGGGTTATGATTTGGAGGTTCCCCCGTGACGCCAGTACTGTATGATGGGGGTTTTCCACCAGTGCCCTGCCGTACTGAAAATTTTTTGGAGGTTCCACCAGTACTGCCAGTGCTAAATGAGTGGAGGTTCCACCAGTGACGTCCGGTATTTCCCAATGAGTGGAGGTTCCCCCCTTAAACCCCAGTACTGCATGAGTGGAGGTTCCACCCAGGACTGCCATACTGAAAGATGGAGGTTCCACCAGTGCCCTCCCCGTACTGTAGGGAGTGGGGGTTCCCAAAACCATGACTGCCAGAACGGAGGATTTGGGGTTTCCCAAACCAGTGACTGCCATTTATTTGCTGAGTGGAGGTTCCCACCAATGACTGCCAAAACTGTAAAGGGGGAGGTTCCACCAGTGACTGCCAGTACTGTGGGGAGGGGGAAAGGTTCCCCCCCATTTTGGGGCCCCTGCCGTACGGGCTGAGTGGGGGGTTTTCCCCCAAATGACTGCTGGTCCTGGGGGAAATCCAAGCAGCTTTGGATCTTTAAATTTTTTCTGTGTAAAAATTATTCTTGCCAGGGGAAAACAAGATATCAATTTCACTCCCAAAATTAAAATTTTTGATTTTAAATTTTGGAAAAACCTATTGCCGGGTTGGGAAAACCCCAGTCGGGAAAACCATTTTCAAAAAATAAAAGGAGGGCCCCCATGAGAGTGATAATTTAAATACAAAGGGACCAAAATTTAGTAACATGACATAAACAAAAACCATTACTTTTAAATTAATTTAAATTTTTAATTACTCAAATTTTCACGACATAAAAAACCTGAGTTTATTTAAATAAAAAGCTCATCTTTAATTATTATTATCGTTTTATTGACGGGAAATTTCCCCAAAACCCCTTTAAAGGGGCTTTAAGGACTGGGAAAGAGGAAATAACCGGGTTTTGATCTAAGGAATTTAAGAAAGTGTTAAAAACTTGTATAAAAACACTTAGAAAGAGGGGGGAACCCCCGCAAAAAGGACAAGAAACCATAGCAAGTAACCCCGCAGTTTACTTCCCAAAAAACACACATGACATGCCTATAAGGGAAAATATGGTTAAAATTTTCCAACAAGGGCTCTTTTTTAATTTAAAAACAAAATCAACCACAACCAAGTATCAAGAAAAAAAAACAAATTGTTCTTTTGGAATCTGAAAGCTAAAACACTAAATTTCCAAAAGGTTATTAACTAAACAGCTTGGCCCAAAAACTCAGCTGGAGCGGACCCCCCGGATTTTAAAAAGTCTTTTGGTTTCATAAATTTGGAAATCGGTTTAAATTTTTTTTTTTCAAAATTTGGGGCTGGGGAAAATGTCACTGGGGCTTGGAAATTTGTAAATAAAATCCCAAACGTTTTTCACGGGCAACAGGGGCCAGACACCACGTTCCTTTGGGTTTATCAGCAAATTACACAAACCCACTTTTTCATACATAAAATTTTCGTTTTATTCCATTCTTTTTAGGGGCTTGCAACACCCTTAAAAAAGCCACCAGGCCCAAAGGGGAGTTCCAAAGTCCCCAACCCCCCTTTTGGAAAAAAGGGGCTGAAAAAAGAGAGGGGAAATGTGCCTTCTTCATGATTCGCAATATGTAACGATACAAAAGCGGAAGGGAGCGAAAAGGGCTATACGCCACCCATTGATAAAGTGTACTTTAACAGGAAGCAAGTTATTTAAAAGCAATTAACCCTTAAAAAAAGGACAGAAACAAAACTGATTTCCTCCAATGTTTTGGAGGAAAAAAGGGGCAAACTGAGAAAAACCGCTGCCTCGCGGGCCGCCACACCACCACAAGAAAGGTTTAAATTCTTTCAAGTGGCCTTAACCCCCAACAAAAAACCCAACACGGGCCCACCCCCTCACATATGTAATAAATGTATTTTTTCATTCAAATTTGGGGTAAATAAAAATTTTTTTTTTTAAATTAATATTTTTTTTTAAAGTAAACTTAGATAAATTTTTGCTAGATAAAAAAGCCGTAAGTTGATTTTTAGGGGCAAAATTGAAGGCCTATCTTGTTTTTTCCCCAAAAACACTCCCCCTCCCCCCGCCAAAATTTCCCTAAAAATATCCCAAAACCCAACCTCCTGGAACACTTTTTTTGAGTGAAAAAGGGGTCCAGTGACTCTCAAGCTGGTCCTAGTGGCATTAAAAAACAAAAAAGGGAAGTAACCCTAGAAAAAGACTCGGTACATAAAGTCTTTATGTACCGAGTAACTCCTTCACCCTCTCCCCTCCTCCTGTCTTCCATACATCAGCAAGTCTTCAATAAAGGTAAGTGTCATTTTATTATTGTTTTAATCTGCATGTCTCATTGTTTTGTGTGTAGGTAAATGTACTTTTGGGTGTCTGGAATGGATTAATTGGATTTACATTATTTCTTATGGGGAAAATGAATTCAGAAATCGTCAGATTCGGGTTTAGTCACTATCTCTGGAATGGATTAATTATGATAACTGAGGATCCACTGTAATGTACTCATGTATACAAGCACAAACATATGTGCGCACATGTGCACCACAGACACTCATACAACAATAAATTTATTGTAGAATCATCAATTATGAAATAGTTACAATTCACCATACAATTATGACTCACCAGAGCACCAGCAACATGCAGGAAGGAGTAGAGAGAGTAGGGGAGATCCGCCATGGCGATGAGAGTTACCCAGAATGAAAATATGGCTGAGTAGAAGTCGCAGAACTGCATGACACTGAGCCTCATGAGACAAAAGTTGTATGTCTCCTGGTCACACGCATGGTAAAACTGTGAGAAACATACAATTTGGTAAGTATGTGAAACAAGCAATATTAACTAATTTACATACAGTATTGGTGAATTCAACTTGCATATAAAACTAGCCATGGCACATAATGAATGCTGTTGTTCTGTTATCCACAGTGGAATATTAACAACCATTCTGGAAATATATTCTGACTTTTCTCACTGTAAATAACTTATAACTATTTAAAAATGTTTAAATTCAACCATACCTCTCAAGAACAAATGAACCTTCTCTCATAACTATTGATAACTATTTTGCTAGATTAGTAACCAATTTTGGATCCAACATTCCTGGAGCTCAAGCCAACGTCAGTACCTATCTGACAGGCAATTATCCTAAGTCTGTTTACTTGGCTTCTACTACCCCTGCAGAAATAGCTTCAAAAAAAAAAAAATCTAAAAATACTGGTAGTAGCACAAATGAGATACCAACAATAATCTACAAAACAGCTGCACAAACATTATTTCCCATCTATAGTAACACTTTTTAAAAATTACTTGAGAAACAACACTTTTCAGATGATCCCAAGAGAGCCAGGATAACAACCATCCACAAATGTAATGATTCAACTTATGTTAATAATTACAGACCACTCTCTAATCTTCCAGTACTATCACAGCATTTTGAGAAATTAATGCACAAGCAACTGTATACCTACCTGACCAAGCACAATGTACTTAATCCTTGTCAGTTTGGATTCAGAAAAAAAAGTACTAATGATGCAATAAAAACACTAGACACAATTTAAATAGCACTGACCCCAGCACTCGCCTGCTCAAAGGACACAGTTACACATATTCCTAACTTGCCTCAGTAATTGACAACAGCATATAGCCATAAATGACACCTTGTTTAGTACCCTAGCCATAAAGCTAGGTGATCAGACCTTTTCTTTAATTCATCTACATTAATGACCTACCTAATGCCACCTAGCAACTGAAACCTGTACTCTTTTCTGATGATGCAGCCTTTTTAACATCAGGTTCAGACCCCATGTCAATAAACACCAGAGTAAAAAATGAGCTTAAAGAGGTTCACATATTGATAATTACCAACTAACTCACCATCAACATTGAAAAAAAAAACATTCTACATGTATATCTTTTAGGAATAAACCATGTTCACATTTAGATATTATAATCATGGTACTCAAATAGCACTAAAAGAGGAAAAATTCCTAGGTCTAACAGTAGACAACAATTTGAAATTTAATATTCATATCCAAGCGAGAGAAACCACCACCATTTTGAGGAGCATCTAAGCTGTAGTATCAGCATGCCTCTGGCAAAACAGTGATGGAATGAGTGATGGGGAAAGTGTTTCTTCTCTTTCAGATCACCCTGCCTTGGTGGAAGATGACTTGTGTTAACCCTTTCAGGGTCCAAGGCCCAAATCTGGAGTCACGCACCAGTGTCCAAGAATTTTCAAAAAAAAAATTTGTTATTTTTTCTTATGAAATCGTAGAGAATCTTTTTGTGAAGGAAATAAAACAAAAAGTACGAAATTTGGTGGAAAATTGACGAAATTATGCTTTCGCGAATTTTGATGTGTCAGCAATATTTACGAATCGGCGATTTTTGCCGACTTGACTTCCCAATTTAGGCCAATTACATTATCCAATCAACCAAATTCTAGCTATTTCACTAGTATTACTTCTATTCTATTGATTGAGCACAAGAAATCGCCAAGTCAACTGTTTCAACAAACAAAATAAAGTGATCGGAAATTGTTAATTTGGCCAATTTAACACAAAGTTCAAAATATTCCAATTCAAAATAGGGCCAGAATGAACAATGTAGGCATTCCTGGCACTAAACTAACATTTCCTCTGTTCATTAGTTATGTTTTGAGGCTTTACAAATAAATTCCATTTTGATTTTTATTCACATAATGAATTTTTTATTCACACCAAAAAATAGAAGATTTACTGTTATGCAATACTGTAATAATTGTATAAATATCATCACATATTTGTGAATGTATATTAGACCCACCAGCTGACGTGTATTAGACGTGTGAGGTCGTTTGTTTACTCTTGAATATCGGCAAAAATTTAACATTTCTGCTACTTTGAGCTCAGTTTCAAGCCATTTCCAGTGCTAAAACCAATCAAAATCATCTATATTTCTGTAATATGTCTTCCATTCTATCAAATGAGACCAAGAAATCGCAAATACAACTATAAAAAACATACGAAAAAACACTGCAAAGTTGCTGTTTTAATCGAAAAATCATGATTTCATTTTTTTTCTCTCATTATACACAGTGTGCTTCAGGATCTGTTTTATGTGGTGCACACATACCACATAGATGTATTCTCTCATATCTAGGCCCAAATGTACCACTCACAGTTTATCAGAGTGAGCTGAGCTCATGGCGTAGATCTACGGTTTGGACCATGAACGTAAAGCCGTAGATCTACGGGACGGACCCTGAAAGGGTTAAAAAAAAAAAAAAAAAGAATCCAACATAGACAGCTGTGATAATCTTCAAAATTCGCTAATGCTTTTTATAACCCGCACTTCTAACACTTTACTTTTCCCTCATCTACCCCTACCTTACTTACGGAACCTGTGCCTTGGAATCTACTGTGGATACCCACCTCAAACCAATTATAACTCAACAAAAGGAAGTTCTCAGGACAATCACAAACTCTACCAGCAAGCAACACACTATGCCTTTATTCAAATCCCTAAACCTAATTAATATAAATGAATTCATACATACTACTAGTCAATCCATAAGTTGAAAGCATTGAATTATGTCAATGCTTAACCCTTTCAGGGTCACTCCCGTAGATCTACGGCTTTACTTTCAGGGTCCAAACCGTAGATCTACACCATAGCCAGCTCACCTGAAACTTGATGGAAAATTAGGCCTAATATGAGAGAAAAACTATGGGTATGGTGCACCACAAAAATAAATCCGCAGCACACGTGTAAAATAGAAAAAAAAAACTGAGACCGTGTTTTTCGTTTAAAAACAGCGACTTGCGGGTTTTTTTTTTTCGTATTTTTTTTTATATTTTTATTTGCGATTTCTTGGTCTCATTTGATAAATGAAAGATATATTACAAAAGAGTTTGTTTTTTTGGGGGGTTTACACTGAAAAAGGCTTGAAACTGAGCTCAAAGTACGGAAATTTTAAATTTTGCCGATGTTCAAATAAACAAACGACCCACACGCTAATACATGCCTCTGGCAGTCCCAATATACATTCACAAAAGTGGGATGATATTTTACAATTATTACAATTTTTTTTTGGGGTTTAATAAAAAATTCATTATTGAATAAAAAATCAAAAGGGAAATTTATTTGTAAAGCATCAAAAAAAAAACTAATGAACAGAGGGAAAAGTTAGTTTTGGAATACCACATTGTTTATTCTGGGCCCTATTTTTAAATTGGAATATTTTTTAACTTTTTTGGGTTTAAATTTGGGCCCAAATACCAATTCCAACACTTTATTTTTTAGCTAAAAAAAGGGGGTTTGGGAAAAGAAAGGGGAAGGGGAAAATAGGAAAAGTAAAAAATTTTGGCACGGAAATGTAATTCTAAATGGGAGTCAAAGTGGCAAAAAGCCATTCGAAAATCGCGGACATCCCCAAAACGCGAGAAAATAATTTCGTCAATTTTCCATCAAATTTCGTACTTTTTCTTTTATTACCTTCACAAAAAGATTCTCTACCATTTCATAAGAAAAAATAACAAATTTTTTTTTTTTAAAATTCTTGGACACTGGGGCACCACTTCAGATTTTGGCCTTGGACCTTGAAAGGGTTAACTTAAACAATGCCTAGAAAACTATAAGAGAACACACATGTACCACACAAAAAACAAGTACAGGTCCTCCATCACAAATCCGGCATCATTGGGACCTGTAGTGTGCCGGATTACTGAGTTTGCCGGATTACAGAGTGGTTAGGTTAGAATACACTTAATAAAATTAACCAACTTGTCTTACACAAAGTTCATTGAACATCAGCAAAAATTGAACATTTGCTCTACTTTGAGCTCAATTTCAAGGTACCTTTCATCATGAAAGCAATCAAAATCATGTCTATTTCTGTAATATATCTTCCATTCTATCAAATGAGTCCAAAAAAATGAAAATACAACCATAAAAAACATACGAAAATATACTGCAAAGAGGCGGCTAATGGCTGAGAAGTGAACTCCCTTATTTATCGTCCGTCTTTTTTATTTTTGTTGTATGTTAGGAAGCATCTTTCTATCATACATTGCCCAAGTTTCAATGAGATAGCTCAACAAACAACTGAGAAAAAAAATATTTACCAAAAATCATATAAGGCAAGCCCAAGCCTGGTAATGGAAATAAGTCACTTTGTCTGACTTTTCTGGGTTATCCTAGGTTCTCTATACATACACTGCTACATATGATAATCTATGTAACTGTATTTATGTATACCTGAATAAACTTATTTACTTCTAGTCTGTCAACTGAGTACAAGAAACCGCCCATTCACTTATTTCAACTACCCAATAAAGTGGTCAGAAATTGGCAATTTGGCTGATTTCACACAAATTTCAACTGATGCCAATTTCAAAATAGGGTCCAGAATAAACAATGCAGACATTCCTGGCACTAAAATAACATTTTCTCTGTTCATTTGTCACGGCTACAGGCCCCTCTTATATTATTACCCTTGCTTACCATTTGGAATTTTTATTCACAAAAAAAAAATAGATTTACTGTTATGCAGACTGCTGCATTATTGTAATAATTGTATAAATAATGTCAATCCATTCTTGACTGCGTATTGGAATTTGGACTGGCAAGCGGACAGGCATTGGACGGTGACGTCATATGTTTACTCTTGAGCTTCGCTAAAGAATAGAACATTTTCGCTACTGTGAGTGCAATTTCAAGGTACTTTTTGTCATGAAAGCAATCAAAATCATATCTATTTCTGTAATATATCTTTCATTCTATTAAATGAGACCAAAAAATTAGAATATAAC